ATATGCCAAAGTTTGTGATGAAAGAAGTTTTCTCTTGATCTCACGGGTTCATACTAATCTAATTATACCAAGAATAAGCATAAAGAAAACTCATTAATTCGTGCCCGTCCGTAGCATCAATCATTTGATCGATGTTTGGCAATGGGAAAGTGTCTTTGGGGAATGCCTTATTTAAATCTTTATAGTCTACACACATCCTAATTTTGTTATTCTTTTTAGGCATTACTACTATATTAGCTAGCCACTCCAGATACTTTACCTCTCGAATTGAACCGATATTGAGTAATTGGGTTACCTTTTCCTTAACAAACTTGTTTCTGACCTCTGCTATCGGTCGTTTCTTCTACCTTATTAGAGAGAAGTTTGGATCTAGACTTAGTTTTGGACCTCCGCCTCCAATGGAATACTTTTCATATCTGTGAATGTGACTAAGAAAAGTAGTCAGTGTTAGATTTAAGAAAATCTATGAGTTTTAACCTGAGTTCGGGACTCAAACCCGTTCCCATATGGAACTTCCTTTCCAAAATTTTTTAGAACAAAGCCACTTGTTCGAGTTCTTCTATGGTTGACTTAGTTGCATCTATCTCCTCTAGTACCTGAAAAGACCTCGATACCTAATGCAATTCCGATGTTTCCTCATTTTTATCATCTTCAATTGGGATGGGAGAAGGCACTGGTTCCTGTAATTGCTATTTGCTGGTTTCTCTGACCTTACTGCTGGAAACGGTCACTGCGTTCACCTCCTTTGCCACCGGTTGGTGTCCTCTTATCTATTTGATACCTTCTGGAGTTGGAAACTTCAACAGTTGATAATAGGTCGAGGGCACATCCTTCATCTCGTGTATCCATGGCCTTCCGAGGATTACATTATAACCCATGTTGTCATCTACCACTTCGAACAAAGCGGTCTTTGTTACTCCTTCGGCATACATGGGCAATAAAATTACTCGTCGGGTCATGAAAGTTGTTAAGTTGAAGCCAGCTAGAAGTTTTGTTACCGGAATGATGCTTCCGATTAACTTTGCTTTCTCCAAAACTCTCCATTGAATGATATTTGCCGAACTTCCTGGATCAACCAAAACACGCTTAATATTGAAATCTACAACATTGAGAGAGATTACCAAAACATCATTGTGTAGTAGAAGAAGTCCGTCAGCATCCTCCTCTTGAAGGTGATGTCGTCTTCTAAGATTTCTCGGATTATCTTGCCATGAGTCACCGATATCTTTGTCTTCATTGCTGTTGAAAATGTCAACCCATTGATCTTATTCCCTCCAAAGATCATGTTAATTGTCACCCGAGGTGACCCTACTACCGGCTTTGATGGCTCCGAATTGTCCCGGTTTCTACCATAGTTGCTCTTGGCATGGTCACCTAAAAACTCTCTAAGGTGACCAATTTTTCAACAATGTCTCCACCTTTTCATGAAGATATCAGCAATCCCCAGTTCTATGGCCATGATTCCTATGTAATTTACACCATAGAATAGGATCCCTTTGGCTAGGATCCGATCGGATTGGTTTTGGGAACCCTGTTTCTTTAATATTCCTCATTGTCGACACCAATTCTACGAGGCTAATATTGAAGTTGTACAGGGATAACCTGGGATACGGTGAATCTCGGAATCCCAACACCTCTTTTTCCTATATTGATCTGCTACTCCGACCACGATCCGTCCTTCTATTGGAAGTGAACCTATCCGACGATTGGAATCTATTATTACCATGCATATCGGCTCTCTATAAGGTTCGAAATGACTTCTAGAGGGTCTCCGATCTACATCAAAATCACTTTTGAATTTATCCTGATTCCGATCACGATTTCGTCCTTGGAGGACGCTGAGGAAGCAAGTTGATCATCTTCTATTCTTATCTTCGGCTCGTAGTGATTGTGAACATCTTCCCATGTGGTCGCATGAAACTTGAGCAAGTTCTTTTTCAATTTTCTAGAGGCATCGGGGCACAGCGGATCGAGACCCTTTGTAAACTTCTTTGCTGCCCACTCGTACGGAACCTCTGGTAACAACATCCATTTTTTTGGAATCGGATCACGAATTCTTGCAGCAGCTCATATTCTCCTTGCGAGATTCAGAATATATCCGCCTTTGTATCTTGGACCTTCCTTGCCCCGGCATGAGCTTTGATAAATTAATCTGTTAGTATTTTAGAAGAATCAATAGAATGCTCAGGTAAGTAGGAATACCACGTTAAGGCACCCTTCATAAGGGTTTCTCCAAACATCTTCAACAAAACTGATTCGATCTCATGCTGGGCCAGGTCATTTCCTTTTACTACCATAGTGTAGGTTGTGATGTGCTCCTATGAATCCGACGTCCCATCATACTTTGGGATACTCCGCATCTTAAACCTCTTTGCAATCAATTCTAGTGCTGCACTTGGTCTAAAGGGTAACTACGTATACTTCCTTGAATCTTGTCCTTTTAACATCGACGACGCACCTAGGATTTGATCCATATGAGAATGAAACTCCTTCGCATTCTAATACATTCGTTCATTCATTTCTCTCATGAATCTCATGAGCTCGATTTTGAAAGGGTCATTTAAGTTGTTGTTCCCAGATCCACAATCGGTTTCTCCGGCCTCGTCGAAACCGACCTCATCCCTTGGAGTGTTGATATCAGTTCTTTGAGCCATCTGATTTGTAGGAACACTGGGAAGAAGTAGGGCCCTTCCATTAACATTATTGGAAGCACCCGATAACGCATGCTTCAATTCCGTCATTACACGATCTTTCCTTGAGAGGTGATCCATAATTGTTTTTTATTGTTCTCTAAAGATTTTGACTATCTCAACAACGTGCTCATCCTCCGCATCATCAGGAGTTGGTCCCCTCACACGTTGAGGATACTGGCCTTCGCGTATTAGGGTTGCCTCATCTCCTTCGTTGTGGGTTTCGCTAGTTAAATCATCACACTAGAACTTATCTTCGCGCTTAGTGTGTGTTCCAACATTGTCGACATTGTTGACATCATTAGCTTTCATAACTGATTTTTCTTTTACTAAAGAAATAACCAAAACATGTTAGTAACAGATGAATAGATCAAAGCAATTACACAATTGTCTATGCCCCACAGTAGGTGCCAAATTGTTTAACTGTAAAACGATACAGTTATTTTATAATGTGGTTTATAGACAAGCGAATTGATTTGATTCAAAAATAATAAATGAGTAAGAACAAAAGTAAGATAGTCAAATGAAATTAAGGAAGATTATAAGCCTGACTAAGATTTTCTTCGAGAACTAAAACTGACTGTCTAAGAGTAGATTATAACTTTTTGTGTGCAGAGTTTTTTTTTTTTAAATTTTTTACAATGGATGCTAATCCTTCTATTTATGGCTATCCAGGGAGACAAGATCTCCAAATCAAACTCTTTTTGAATGAAAATAAAACCGACATTGATGGATGCATAACGGTTGGCTATAAATGTAAATTTTTCCCGTAATAGCGCTACCCATTTAATGTTACCCGATGACAATGCTTTGAATCTTTGTGATCGGCCATTCTTCCTTCAGAATTTGCTCGGCACCGACTGCATACTTACATCCGTTGCCAGTTGTCTTCGGACTCACGTCCCACATGTCATTTCGTCATTTGCCCAGCTGTCACTAACCAATTTTTCCCACATACATTAAGTAAATGTAATTTATTGGCCCTCCATGTTTGCTAAACTTAATAGGTAGGATAAATACTTAATTTCCTTCTCCTTCCTTCAGATACACACACATAATAAACTAGAGATTTATGCATGTGAGTCATGGAAATCTTCTTCCTCGACACTTACGAAACTGAAAACGTACGACGACAACTTCCCTTTCATCTCCTTCTTATTAATTAACACGGAGAAATTACATCTACGCATGTGAGTAATGGATCTCCAGCTAATCATTATCTCTCTCTCTCCATATTATACGTGCGAATTAAACTTATCAAAAGTTTTCTAGTAATAAATATTCTTCTTGTTCAACAATTAAAAAAAATTCATCTTGTTCCAGGAAGATGTTATCGTTCCGCGCTATATCCTAAAAGCCCTTAAGTTGAGATGAGAAAGTTTTACTTCATACTAAGCCATATTTCGAGTTCCCTTGTTAAGATAGTCTCAGTGAAGTCCTAACCAAGTCCGCAATTTTCTATCATAGTTATTCTCCTTGTTTCTCAATCATTTGTTAAGCTGAAATCTTAAGCCGACAAGTATAAATGGTATTAAATTGGAACGTTATTTCTACAACAAACGCATCACCAAAAAGATGTATTTATTATCGTTTGAACAAAGCAAGACATACTAGGCTACTAGCTAGTGAATTTACCTAGCCGTGCAATTATTTAGTGATAAATTATAAACAATATGGCTGGCACGGTGATTACGTATCATTTCTTTATAGGAAAATCTTGAAATAGGCAATCTAATGTGAGCTGTCTTGTTGAGAAATTCTAAGAAGTCAATAATAAAATTTACCTTTGCGCGCATTTCATTGTGTAGGGATGAGAATTTGACCTAAGTTGCCTATAGAAAACGTCACCTTCATAAAGGTCAGCGGCGGATCCAATAACATGGTCATATGTAAAGTTTAGTTGGCACCATTACATGCATGCATAAGTCACAAAATTTTGGATTCACCCATAAATGAAAATGGGTGCTTTAAGACTCAATAGGGTTATAAGTTAATTCTAATATTTTTTTATATAACTACACTTATAGTATACAATAAAATATACTCTCAACAATATTTTTCCACGCTTTCTCTCTCAATCCAGATTAGGATTTAGATTGTGAAATTTGGCGTTGCTCCAACACACCGTAAAAATCTCTGCCGACCAATAATTCTAGCTGCGATTCATTCCTTCCACTTCGCGAACAAGTAAATTCTCATTTTTTAATTTACGTGCTAATCTAATGTGTTTAGTTTATCGTGTTCCTTCGAAACCTCTTTATATATGCGTTCTCTCCGAAGAAAAGATGTTTATGTGACAGGGAACTTCATTTATAGATTGAACCCTGAAAAGTTCAGTACTATGGAAGCTCTTTACTCTAGTGTCCACTACTGGCTAGTTGGCCTCCCAACAATTAGCAAATTCGAGTGGAAACAAGGCCACACTTTTGGTTCCTCAATACTATTCCTCGCTCTTTCGGTCTCTATCTACTTGTCTCTCACTCTATTATCTCTTCGTTTCGCATCACACCTCCCCACCCTATCCGCCACCATTCTCCACCGCATCACCGCCGTACACAGTCTTATCCTCTGCCTCCTCTCTCTCATCACGGTCGTCGGCTGCAGCCTCTCTGTCCTCCACCAAATGCCACGTCATGATTGGAAATGGCTCTTTTGCTTCCCACCCAATCACACTCATACACGTGGACCCGTGTTCTTTTGGTTTCACGTCTGTTTCCTTTCCAAGATTCTTGAATTCATAGACACCCTTTTAATCATTTTAAGTAGTTCTAGATCAAGGCGACTCTCGTTCCTTCATGTGTACCACCATGCAATGGTGCCTGTTCTTGGTTATCTTGCGATCTACACTTCTCAGTCGATGCTCCATATTGTAGTCATCACGAATGCTTCAGTTCATGTTCTAATGTATGCCTATTACTTCCTCTGTGCAATAGGGAAGAAGCCATGGTGGAAGAGGTTGGTAACAAACTGTCAAATTGTTCAGTTCATTTTTGGATTTCCATGTTCAGCTATGATGTTGTACTATCACTTTACTACTAAGCTTGGGTGCTCCGGTTTTGGACCTTGGTGCGCTTGTATTGCTTTTGATGTTTCGCTTTTGGCACTTTTTCTTGACTTCCATTCCAACAACTATGGCAAGAACAACAGGAAAGGTCATGATAATAAGCTGGAGAAACAGGCATAACGTCCGTTCTTTATTTAGCTGCCAGCAACTCTATTTAGCATCATGGACGACCATGGTTATTCTGCAGGCTTATTAGTACTTCCATTTATTCACATCCTTGTTTTCAGAATGCGATTCATTGTCTTGTTCCAAAACGAATTTTTCTTATATTCTTTGACGGGTCCAGATCAGCTCCAGTGCATAGAGCTCCAGTAAATCTCAATGCACATTTAGATGGAAGCCAAGTGCCCCTATGATAATTTAATGGCCAGATTTCATCGTCTGAACTTTTTTGCTAAATAGGAAAAAAAATGTAGAAACCGAACACAAAGTAAAGGAAAAGCTCGCTATTTTGATTTTTTCACTCCAAATTCAAAATCAGATTCACTGGAAGAATCTCAAATCAATTGTATTTCTTTGAGCTCACTAGGTTTTTAAAATGGGTAAACAAAGAAACTAAGCTTCATTTGACATTAAATTGAATGACAATCTTAATAATGAATATTGTAGCAGAGAAGAAATTTTTTTTGTGTGACACCCATCTTGTCTGTAGTATAAAATACAGTATAATTTTTTTTCTCTACAACATTTGCTCTATAGCTGTACTAACACTTTGAAGAGGTTCTTCTTAAGAAAATAAGGTAGGTCGCCATTGACAACCTCCATGCTGTCATCATGGAAGTAAATACGATTGGGTATCTTTCAACTAAGAGCCCATTTGGATGAGCTTGTTTTAAGTGCTTTTAAGCCAAAATAATACTTAAGTCATTTTGTAGTGTTTGGATAAAGTAAAAAAGTATTTTTAAGCACTTGTTTTCGGGCTAAAATGACAAAAACAAGCCAAAAACAAAAAGTTAAAATTCCTAACTTATGCCTTAAAAGCTATTTTGGTTTAAAAATCACTTAAAACAAGCCCATCCAAACGGGCTCTAAAATTGTTCCTCGGGAAAAACAAAACAAATTCCTTTTCAAGCTAGATATGAAAATGGGAGCTAAATAATTTTGTTGGCAAAGAATATGCTAGTTCCTTGTATTTTCTTTCTTTGTTCGGAAGGACAGATAAGAGTTTTAGATGAATATAAGAAAGAGATGAAATTTGCCCATTGAATTATCATAGGGACACGTGTCTTCCATCTAAATGTGCATTAAAATTTACTGGAGCTTTATGTAGTGGAGCCGATCCGGACCTTCTTGGACAATGCAAGTGAATTTTAACAATTTGTTTCAATTTAACATGATGAAGAAGATTTTTTGCCCTATTTTCAAGATTACTGGTTTCACTTGTTATTACTAATTTAGTAGTGACTGGTGCTTGCATAGCAATTTAACATCTATGTGCATGCTTGTTTGGCATAGAATAATGGTTATCTGTTTTTGGCATGGATGCCATGTTCTTGCATTATCATGTACATACATTATTGTAGAAAGACTAGTCCCAAGTAGTTAGAGTCGGGTAGAGGATTCTTTCTCGAGATCCTTGTGATTCACTTATAAATCTTTTTACGTACGTTTCGAACAGATGATATATTTATTTCATATCAGCTTTGAAAACTCTAAGTCTTAGAAGCTCATGATTTGTTCTACCGGTCCTTGGGAAGTTATATAAAAGTTCAGTTATTTCATCCCTTATTTTCTCGGTAAATCTCATTTGAATTAGATTATTGTTAATTGGCCTGCCTAGCAGGTTGGGTTAGTTTCCATCATGACTAGTTGGATTTTGGGTCGTGATAACGTAACCTCGTAAATCATGCTAGAGATTATGTGTAGGTTTGATTTTCCCTCTTTGGACATGATACTCATTGTTGTGTAGTGTCACCGTCTAATTTGAGTAGTACTTGTACACTTCGCTCATGCATACACTTTAGCATGCTATTTGATCAGCACAAAAGAATGTGATTTGATATCCATTGACTGTATACATGTATTCATATATCTGATTTTTGTATTATTGAGTGGTTGACAGCATGGGAGTTGTCCGTGCGGGTTGAGTTGACTATGACACGTGAGTTGTCCGTATAGCGTGTTGATAAGGATTCATACCCCTAGGGTTATCCTCTCACGTTTCTTCTTGATGCAGTACACACGATTATGGAATACTGATAAGTATTTGAATTTATGTATCTTCTCTCTATGCAAACTCCTTTGATGTATACATGATTTACTGCATATTTCCTCTATATGCTACTTCTATGGTTGTATATATGCATTGTATGCATATTTTCTCTATATGTTGTTTCACTTGATGAAGTGATACACTATATATAACTTCTCTATATGTCTCTCTCCCTATAATTTGACTCGTATATTTACGCATATCTCCCCTATATGGTAAATTGTAATCCTAGTTGATGTTCATGTATATCTTCTCTATGTGCACCTTGAGCTTTATCTGTAATTGTGCTTAGACTCTAGTATTGGTTTTTCGTATTCGTATGTATTTATGATTTGTACAGAGTTATCAAGCGAGTATCATTGGTGATTCTTGTCACTACCACTTCATGGTTAGTCATATGTAACGACCCGACCAGTCATTTTAAACTCTAGCATTTTTGTTCAGTAATTTGAGACTTTGAGTGGCTCCATATGATGCATTATGAATTGTGCGTATGGTTGGCTTCGATGTTCGAGAAGTTTGGGATTGATTTAGAAGAGTCATTCTCAATTTGGAGCGTTAAGTTAGAAGAGTTGACCAATGATTGACTTTTGAGTAAATAATCTCGAAATCAGGATTTGAAGGTTCTTACAGGTTTGTAAGGTGATTTTGTACTTGGGTGTTCGAGTTGAGTATCGGATGGTACGGGAGTGATTCAATGCTTATTGTTGAAAGTTTGCATTTAGAAGGTTTTTGAATTTGCTAAGTTTGACTTAGAGTGGACGTTTATGCTATCGAACTCCGGTGGTGTTCGAGGACCTTGAATTGGTTCATTTAGTTGATATGAACTTGTGTGTAACATTTCATCGTAATTCGGAATGTCTAAGTGTTATTCGGACGCGATTGGCGAACTTTGAAAGTTAAGAGAAGAATTTTGATGTTATTTGTAGCATTTTGAGCCCGTAGATAAATTTGGATAAGGTATTGGCACTGGATTGTATGATTGGGCGGGGTCCTGGGGGCCTCGGGTGTGTTTCGAGGTGGTATCAGACCATATCGGAGTGTTTTACTGTTGTTGGTTCTGGTTTTGCTCTTGGCAAATATGGTGGGAAGCACACATTCATGATGAAGGATTTGGGTTAGGAGGTCATTTGTGCTTCGCGTTCCCGATTGATGAGCCGTGTTCACGAAGGCTTGGGGTAGTGGTGTTTAACATTCGCGACATGGAGGTCGTGTTAGTGAAGAAGAAGCTAGGACTGGAGGCTTGCCTTCGTATTTACGAAGGCATGGCTGCCTTCGCGTAATACTGGCCTGGTAAGGCATTGCGCCTATGGGCCTATTTTTGCGGTCACATAGAGGTTTTTTGGGTAGAAGCATACTTGTGCTTCGCGAAAGCGAGGCACATGCCGCGTTCGCAAAGGGTAATGCCTATGCACAACTTATAAGTTGGAATTTTGGGATTTCTTCTTTTTTTCATTTGGGATCAATTGGAGCTAATTTTTAGGCAATTTGGAAGGGTCATTTCACCTATCTAAGGAGGGTGAGTGTTTCTAACCCACGTTTTATTATTTTTCATGAATATTATGAATTCAAACTTGTAAATTCATGATTTAAGGTAGGAAAATGTGGGATTTTTAGAAGATGGTCTGGAATGGTATTTATGAGTTTTAACCATTGATTGGGCATGGAATTTTGAATCAGTTATATATTTGAGTTCGTGATGCTATAGGTAATATTTATTTTCTAAAACTTCTGAAATCTAAGCACGTGGGCCCGAGTTTGACTTTGTTGACTTATTGTGTGGGGGTTGAGAGTTGTTTCTAATAGTTAAATTATGAGTTTTGATTGGTTTGCACGTTGTTTGGCTAATTTCAGATTGTTTGGCATTAGCTTGAGGTGTTAGAGAGACGTTGGAGCCGATTATTGAATTTTGGAGCAAGGTAAGTCTCCTGTCTAACCTTGTAAGAGGGAACTTATCCCCGTAGGTGCTATATTTTCTACATGCTATGTGTTATGGGAGCTACGTACGTATGAGGTGATGAGTGTCCGTGCGTATGTTAGAATATAAAAAAATGTCTTCAAGAGACTAACAAAAATTTCAGCAATAATAAAAGCTAAGGCTTGGAAGGAGTTGTCATGACCCAAAATCCAACTAGTCGTGATGTCACGACCCAAAATCCAACTAGTCGTGATGTAACCTAACCCAATCCGCTAGGTAAGCCAATTAACAACTATCCAATTTAATGAGATTTATTAAGAGAAGAAATGATAGCACAACTGTTTTTATACAACAAATTTCCCAAGGGCTGGTAGTACAAATCATGAGCTTCTATGATTTAGATTTTTACATGACTGAACTGAAATAAGTTCAACAATTGTTTGACTGTAAATGAACAAAATTTGAATCTAATGATACCAAGGACAAATGATAGCCATAACTGGAACGCAGGTACATCTTCAAGTCCAGCTCAACATCAGCATCCAACATCTGCACACAAGGTGAAGAAGTGTAGTATGAGTACAACGGATCCCATATACTTAATAAGTAACAACCCTAACCTTAGGTTGAAAGTAGTGACGAGATGGGACATGGGTCATGTTCCAACTCTAATAACCAGCCACAGTTCATAACAATATAATAAAAAATGTCTCAAGAAAATAACTCAGAGATAAGATGCTCAACTCGTTCGCAGTTACGGAAAAATAGACATGCTTTTCAAGTATAACAGTAAATTCCAAATCTTTCACCGAAAACCCCAATATCATATGAGTAAGTTTGAAAACTGTGATTTCTCCAAAAACCTTTCAACAATAAATAAGATGTTTTATTTTCAGATTGCATGAGGAAAATACATCTCTATGCCTACATGTCAATATGTAGGTGAAATCATGCATGCCCCCAAAATCGGGCAGCAGAAGGAATAACATCTCTATGCATGTATCTCAAGTACGCATGTCAAATGCAATGTATCTCAGTGATGAACTCATGTACTCACACTTTCAGCGTACTCAATCTCACTGTCTCATATTCTCTCTCACCATGCTCAATACTCAGCACACTCAGTCACTCAGCACGGTACAATACATGCGCTGCAGCGTACAACCCGATCCACATATAGACATAAGGCCTATTACAACGTGCAACCCGATCCACACACACACACACACACACACACACACACAC